ATATTAAGAGGCCTTATTGTTTTGTCTAAAAGTAAACCAAAGGCTGCAGCATAAAACATGAACTTATGCTTGGGAAGACTGCATTAAGAACTATCAATTTAGGCCTACAGTATATTCTGCTGAACAGTGAATTGACAGTATCCTTTAAGCTATTGAAAGATTTCACACTAAAAAAGCAGAGCCAATCTTGAGGCCTTATTGACCGAACTGAACTTTTAATATACTGTAAGTATTTACAAAGCTATTTTCTAAATGTATTTACAAGTTTAAAAGAAATAATACGGAAGATAACTGATTAAGAAAACTAAAATAACTGTTTAAAACCACAAACATTAGCAAAGGTATAAAATCCTTTATTTTCACAGTTTGTCATAATAGGTTAAACATTTAGAGGAAAGGACACTGTCACTGTTTTCACATTTGTCTATAATTAAAAAGGTAGATTAAGAAGAGACTCAATTATGAACCAGCCTATATAATTTCATGATTTATTTTGCTGTCAAATATTTCTTCATGTATTTTATTGACTTCTGCATTTATTGTAAATGAAATGTGGAACAGCTCTGTGCTAACTTAAAACTGTACAGGCACAAGACACTGTACAGTACTTCCATAATTTGCTTAAAATAACACAGCATACTCTGTTTTGGTGGACTTGTGAAATGAACTTCAATCAGATAATGCTTCATGTTTCATGACAATGTTAATCCTGGCATACCATTATGTGACAAGGCACAATTTAATTGCTGTTGCCAGATTTGAAGTTCGTTTTCTACCAGAGTCACACACTTTGTAAGTGTAAATGTAATGCTCAATGATGTTTTATGCTCACCTATGTATGCATCCTTTGAAGCACTGCCGAACTTTACAGTACTGTGTTATGGCTTGATAATTATTAACACTGCTAGCAGTGGAAAGGGTAAATGGCATATCAACACGAATAGGAGCAAGAAGAACTTGCCAACTGCTGAATCATGATTCTGTAGAAAAAGTGATCGTTTCCTGCCCCTTAACAGTCCCGTTACAATGTTTTGAACCTGAACCTGTACAATCAAAGTGATGTTGGTTTTTTGTTTGTTTTTGTCAGAGACAATTTTGGATAAGTCACTCTTTGGTAAACTCAAACCATTTTAATACATTTACAAATACAAAGAACTAGATTTAAATAATGTTAAGATTGTGACACAGAGAAATTCAAGAAATATAAAATTAGTACCCATATCCTGCTATCCTCAACTCATACTTCCATGGAAAAAGTCACACCAAAGGCACCACAGCACAGGTCCAAGATAAAGGGTTAAAAATAACTGTACATTTCTTGGATTTTGCATGTCTCAATTTATCAAAACACATTTTTTTTGCATTTAATCACTTAAAACAAACATTTAGAAAAAAAACAGTATCAGAAACACCAACATGTTTTTAAGTGGGTAAACATACAGACTACCTTCCCTAGACACAGACATATACTTTCCCTTACCGGAAACAAAAGTTCTATTGTTGCTTCAAGGAGAGAGACATCTCCCCACCCTCTGCCTCTTTATTTAGGCAATTTTAGGACAAAGAGGCAAATTATGTACTCAATTTAACTGAAACTGCTCCAATGGAGCACGTGGGATTTATACTGTAAATCTGTATTTAGTGAAATTAATTCTTATTGCAGACTGTCACAATATTAAGAACTAGTGTATTTAATAAAGCTACTGCACAAATATGCCCTAACTTCACAGGAGCCAAAAAAGCTTTACAAGATAGCAAACCTACCTTTTTGCTTTCCTGTAATTTAGGAACGAGCTTTTATTTTCTAAATTTCAGGAGTTAAACAGCATGTTCACAGATGTATTTTCAATATTTGCTAAACAAACGTAAGGCCCAATTATATAAAACCTGTATTTTAAAGAAGCATGTGATTAATTTAATTCTGTTCATCAGGTTGAATTTTACATGGTAGTGTTTGCCAGTCCATGCTTTTGAGGTCTCTTAAGCTATTGGTTTTTTTTGTTGTGGTTGGTTTGTTTGGGGTGGGTTTTTTGTTTGTATGTTTGTTGTTGGTTTTTGTTTTGTTTTGTTTTATGTGGTTTTTTTTCTTTTGCTTAACTGTTACCATTAGGTTTCACATTTTATATATTATACTGACCTAAATGATGAAGTTAGCACCATGTAAAAAAAAACATTTGGTGAAACAAAAAGATTTAGAGTATTGTTAAAATTGTTGGTAGTTCCTTTATGCAGAAAACAACCACTGAAAATAATAGGGAAGCCATAGCAACTCTGTAATACTCACACATGAAATAACAGACATATTGCTTGAAATTCCCATAGAGTATTTGTTTTTTTAATACAAAAAAAAGTACGAATTCCAAGTGATGACATATCACTTGGAGCTTTAAGTAGGAAGTCAATGTGCACCTGAAAACAGCTCTCTCTGAAGAGACCTATTAAAACACTGCTTGGAAATACTGTAGTTTAAACTACAACATCTCTTTCAGGTTTTAACCAACCGTAAAGAGTGATGAAGTTAAATTCAATTACCTGGTATGGTTCTACAGTACGCAATGAAGGTAGATTCTGAGGCCAGTAAAAACACATTTAAAACCACAATGCTACTTTTAGGTTTGCTAATTTTTTTTTGTTTTTTTATATATATATATATATAGATATATCTATCTCTATATATATAAAAAGGTCAGCACCACAGGTTGTCCAGCTTGCGTTCCAGACAACTAACAAAACCCCTCAACAATTTAACCATAATTTAATAGATTTATGGCATTTGGTTTACATACGTTATAAAGCAAAGCTATTAAAACAAGGTAATTCACTTTGCTCGCTTTTGCACACAAAGTAATAGTTTAATAAACTGAAAACCAAACAAGACTCTCTTAAAACCAAAACCATCCTCCCAAAGTCTGAAGTCCTAAATCCTAAGCAGAGAGGAGACCTAGCAGTTGAAAGAGTGGTACATGGTATAAACCTTGACATACTTTTACATTCACCTCAACCAGAATAGGAAAAGTGAAAGCATTTTATATATATATAAAGCAAATTTATATATATAAACAGACTAACTACCAAAAACAGTTAGTAAAAGCAAACATTTCATCATGACACACGGAAGGAATCAAAGCTATAATATTCTGTCCCCCCACTGCTGTGTAACTCATTATCAGCAACAGGATTTAGGACATAAAATAAGGGAGATTACAGCTTCTTGGCATATCCAGCAGAGCTGCCAATCTTATTCTAATATCTTTCTCCACTGGAATTTGTGTCTTGCCAGATCAACCAGTAGGGATACTTTAGCAGACTCTTCCTATCCTTTCCCCAGCACGCTGTCTTTTATATTTTGAGCATCTTCAAAAGTAAAAAAACCCCAAACAACCCAGCCTCCTTCAAAAACAAAGAATACTTAATGTAGTCTTCTCCAGAAACCATTTCAAACTGATTTCCAGAAGGTCAGGAAAATTAAAAGGCTGTTATACTTGTACTGAAGATTACTAAAATAAAAGATTTAAAAAATACATTAGTAATGTGCTTGTTTGTGTTGCATTTAGAATGTAGTATTTTAATCAGACGTGTTAGACATTGCATGAATTTCCATACTAGAATCCATAGCTTCAGAAACTGAAGCATCATTATCTACTTTCTGTTCCACAAACGCTTCTGTTCTGTCTGGAGACTCTACCCTGTTTCTTACTTCTGTTACCCCAGGGTGATTTTTTCGCAAATGCTGGTTTAGTGTACCCTGGAAAGGAAAACATTTTCCACAGATCTCACAGCGAAAGGGCTTGTCATCTGTGTGACCACGAATATGATATTCAAGTTGGTCCTTGCGGGTATATTTCTTCCCACAAAACTTGCACACGAAAGGAGTTATTCCCATGTGCAATCGCATGTGTCGATCAAGGCTCCCTTTCTGGTTGAAAGACTTTCCACAGTAAATACAAATTAGCCTCTCACTGTATGGATACCAATGACCTCTTGCATTTCTTTCCCGTGGACTATTTTCATATCCTGGGTTACTCACCATGGATTCACTGTCAGCCCCTTGCACCAAGCCCTGAACATCACTATGCAAGTGACCAGTGGATACCCGTTTTTGGCGTGCACGACCCCCTCTGAAACAGCTCAGCATTGACCTTGAAGGACTCGTATTGCTCAGGCTTCCGAAGGTTTCAGACACACCTGTAGCCTGTGATGAGGCATGGGTAAACGAATAAACATGTTGTAAGACAGACCCATATGAACCAACATTTACTGCCACCACTTGCTCTCCATCCACCATTTCAGTATGATATCCATCATCACCAAGGGAAGAGCTGTCAGAGCAGCTTGGCCTGTCAGACTTTTCCATTTTAACTTTCACCTCTGCAATCTGACTTTCTCTTACTATCAGGTCTCCTTGCTCATGATCACCTTCAATCTGGATCTCATATTCAGAGATACTCCCACTGCTTCCTCGATCTGAATGCCCTTCTTCTTGCAGACGACTACGTAGATTTTTGCCTGGAGTAGTTTCCATCCTAAGATCGCTGCCTGCTGTTGACTGTCGCACCTGAGAGCAATAGGGGGGAGATATCTCAATAGGATTGGCAAAGTAGCTGCTGTCTTTAACTCCATTGCGATTTTCTGAATTTTCTTCAGCACCAACAGTGACAGAGTCAACATCACCAACACTGATCTTTGAATGAATACTCTCCAGTATCTGTGTGCATTTATCAATGACGCACTGCATCTGTAGAAAGCTAGCTGCAGTTAGAAAACTAACAACATCCTTCAGCTGTAAGGACATCCTTCCAGTGTAACAAAAAGAAAGCAACTGTTCAAAAACATTGGGATTTTTAATAACTGATATTGATAAGCCACTCATGGTGCTTAATGCTGAATGGTCACGGAAATACGGAGAACTGGCAGCTAAGACAGCTTTATGGGCTCGAAATGGCTGACCCTGAATATGCACAATTATGTCACATAGCTTTCCTTGCAAGCGGAGTTCATTTAACTGGCTTAGAACAGTGTTGCTGTACTCGGGCACATCAAACTGAATGAAACTGCTGCTGTCCATTTCTACTGATGTAAAGAGTAATCTGAAAGAAAAATGAGAAGATTTACAACTGAGAATGAATACAAAGTTTTCCATTTCAAAAATAAATGCTTGCACATGTTGAAGTTAAATCACCACATTGATCTGTTTAAGGTGTGTTACAACAAAACAGTTGGTATAAATACTTCCTATAATACAAAAAGTAGAGTCTTAATCTACCCATTTCTTGCATTTCTATAATTTGAATTATCCATCTGGAACATTCACAATTCAATTGCTCATAATACATCACAGGCTCCCTGGGACAGTCTATGTCCTAAAAGGAACTTCGCAATTTCACTCCCTGGTAAGAACTGCAGAACAATACCCCCACACTCCCTCAAAAATATTAATTTTATAGTCACTAGGCAAGTTAAAAGCTTCAGAACCTTTAGTAGGTCTTCAAGCCAGATACTACGTCGATACTTGCAGGGAACTGCACTGTTAAATTGGCCAAGAACTATTTTTGGAAGGTACTTCATGAAGTTTGAAAAACCCGCTAAAGAAAAGCCACATGCGCATATGTGTGTGTGTGCATACACACACACACACACAAATATTTAAAAAAAACATTCCTTAGGTCTAGATATGTCAAATTTATTTCAGAGGAGATGAATATACTACACTGGTGACATTTCTGTTTAAACATTTACCTTCTTAGAAAATAATCTCAATAATTATTTAAAAGAATTAAAAATCAATCTTTATATATTCACATCACAAAACAAAGAAAACCTAATGAAAGGAAACATTTAAGTGTGAACTCAATTCCAAACTATTTACCCAGTGTGTCAGAGGTTCCCAGATAATAATGGATTTGTGTCAACAGTTGAGGCAGCATTTGAAGGAAAAGTGTTTGAGCCACCCATGGACTTTCAATTTTTTTTTTTTAATTTCCTTTTGTACTTTTAGTTTTTTTTTTTTAATAAACCATAATGTGAACTTTGAAGCTCACCTGATGCAGCAGTGATTTCCTAGCTAGAATGACTTGACATGTAAATTCTAACCTAATGCAAAAGCCATGGGTACTCAAACTTGCCTGATACACTGGATGTTGGAAAGGATGTTCTAAGAGGCTTTAGAGAAAAGTATACATTTCAAAACAAGATCTAAAGAAAAGCACTTTACCAATTTTTCATAGAGTATTATAAAAAGCACACACACACTTGTCCCCTTGTGAGTGTCTATCTGTAGCAGCCATCACCTTACATTTCCAAGACTGGGCCCCTAATCAAGTGCCCAAGAATCTTCAGACTTTTATTGCTATTCTTGTTCTTACTAATGCAGAAGTCTAAACATATAATATTGCCACCATACCTGCTTTTCCAATTGAACAAACAGATCTCAACATCATCCATTGACTTCTGATGCAGGAAGCATGTCCAATGTATCACAACATACTAGTGGATTTTTTTTTTCTATTTATGTCTTATGTTACATGCTGTAATGGGACATATGAACAATTTAGATCAAATTATGAAAATTCAGGCACTCTAGAAACAAAATCAACAGGTAGGAATATGATAAAAAGCCTATAAGGAAGAACTGGAGCTATATCAGCTGACTGTCACTTAAAACTAACATTCATTCACAAATGGAGCTTCTTTCCAGCAGAGAAACAAGACAGACAGCTTCCTGACTTGACTAACATTAGGTCTGATTTAGAAAATGGTCAAAAACTCTCACAGAGCATTCAGAATCAGGTTATCAGAGTTGCTAAACATATTCTGTAAGTTACCAACGTGTCATAGATTAAAATGGGTAAACCAGACTTCATCTGAGTTTTTACAGTTGTTATGTAAAAGCAGGGAAAAAGACGTTTTATATGCTCATATCTGATGAGGAAAATAAGGACTAAAAGGTGATTAACAGAAGTGATATAATCACAGCCACCTATAGAAAGATTGCTTTGGCAGGACAGTTCTTTTACTCAGCGAACAAAGCTACAAAATGATTCAGAACTTGTGAGCTGATGCAAGTCAGACATAGGTCAGAAATCAAACATTACAACAAACAAACAAAACCCAAACAGTGGCGTACTTAAATGGCAAGATTCACCTTGTTATTCTGAGCATCCCTGCATGTTGTGCAGAGAACCACTGTTCAAGTTCCTAGCAGATGCATCCACTCCATTGGGAAGACAGAAGTCACAGCAGTTAGGATACATGTTTGTCAACTTCCCTCTCATTTGACAGGGCAGCAGGCTTCCTTACAAACCCAACATAGGTCACTGCCTTGAATTTGTGGGGCTTATGACTTATGTACAGATGCAACAGCAGGACATTCCTGATCAAGCTTCTCTTTGCTAAGTGGAGGAAGAGCTTTTGTTGACCTGAAGTGACATGAATTGACAAGTTACCTAGGTTAAGGACTGTGTACAAACTATAAGACCAGTCCCCAGCAGTGATAATTTTGTCATTCCTGCATCATTTCAGATCCTTGAGCTAAGGAACCAGATCTTGGTCAAGCCTCACTCAAATCCCATCAGAAATTACTCCTTTTTTTGCATCTAGAACGTACAGAAAGTTTGTCATATATAGAAAGCAGCCTTCCTCCTTGCCCCATACTTCCCTAAGGGCTCTTACTCAGCGAAATGGAGAACAACTTAGTCCTAGACAAAATACTAAAATATAAACTGTCACCACTAGCACTAGTCCAGACAGAAGGAACGAATTAAGGATAGGCACCTGAGTAGAAAGAAGATGGACATTTTATGCCTTACCATGGAGAAAAAAAAATTACGTTCTTTTGGTCATGGCATCTTAGCATCTCTGGATGAATTCATACTCCCTAGGACATGGCCACACATTAAAAATGGACTGTGAACACAGACCAGAGAAAGCATGAGAACCAGGAAGAGAGGGACACCAAGAGGAAAGGGATCCTCAGCGATCCTTGCACATCACAACTCTGTTAGAACATCTAATTATCTCCATAGGCATATATATCTAGAAGCAATTCTATATCCTTGTTCTCAGAGTTGTTGCATCTTTCTTTTGGGAAACAAAGAAGCTTATTTTCCTCAAAATGTTAGGAGTAAACAGCACAAATCATGGTAGCAAGTGGAGAGGATGATGGAGTTAAAGGTCTGTAAGTCTGGCTGTCAGTGTAGCAGATAAGCAGTAAAAACCAGAAATAGGGATAAAGGGAACATACAGTATTGCTTTGAAAGCAAACAAACAGATCAAGTACACAAAACGCAGCCCAAAAAGCAGTGGATCAACCAGTTTCTATACCCATCTGCTCTTAAAAAAGAAAGTGAACAAGCCACAGCATGGACTTGTTGTGACTACTTTTCCACCTTAGTTTCTTCCTTTCAAGATGCATGCTTCCTGTGATCTTGAAAACATCTGTAGAAAGCTGGGGTTAAATAACAAGAATTTTGAACAACAGCAGCACTTGACAGAAGGGAACCCTTCTTTCACTTTCAGCCAAACTCTGAAATCTCTAGTTGAAGAGGTCCTGAAACTGATGAGGTTGCCAATGAACACCACATTCAGCAATAGGCAGGACCATAGCAGGAACAGCACTGAGACTGCAGTAATTTTGCTGAGGTTAGTACCATGGCACCCCAACTTTCTTGCATCGATTTGGGAAGGCAAGACCCGGGAAAAAATCTGGGATTACACACATCAGAGAGGCAGGCACCACTAGCAATGTTTTATTGATGAATAATGGTTAAAAGAAGAATTATCTTATTTATTCACATAAATCCCCAATGTCATTATCTAGAAAATAAAAGTAATCTTTAGATTATATTCCCATACACAAGAAGGTTTTATTTTATTTGTATACAGAATGAAGTTAGTAGTTCCATAATCAAATCCCAGTA